TCTCTATCGTATTCAAATCTTAATGAATGGAACGAGCGCATTGGCGGAAAACAGGAAAAGGTAGCTAAAAGTATTTATCTTTTTGAAGAGAGCAGCCAGGAGTGAAACTGACGAATATATTTAATCTTAAGTTGAAGCCCCGATTCGAGGAACCGCTGATTTATTTGTTCGTTTAGTCTGCAAGATTATGTTGCGTCTCCGACCGGTGTGCTTAGCGTTCTATTTCGCCTATCCATCCAAAGTGGTCCCAAAGTGACACCAAATGACGTCACAGAAGTCGGAGCGGCGTCATGCTGTCGGATGTCGCGATCCTGACGGGTAAACGTAGAAGTTATGGTCAAAGGTTTAAGTGAATGACGGTGTCCTTGTTGTCGCGGCGTCCCAGCCCACTGCCGAAGCTTCCGTGGGCTCTCAAGCTGGACAATGACTTGCAGCAGAACAGGCGTCTGCCGCAGCTACCACCGATGCTGTGACACCGCCAGGGTCGTAGCCGACGACGGCGTGACACCTCTGTGACGTCATCAAATGGAAATCGAGGGACCATTTTTTTTTTTAAGACGCTGTAAACACGCTAGTGCGGAGACGTATTACCGGCATCATATATATCACGGCCACGTCTGGATGTGGTTCTCCAACCACCGCGCGGAGTGCTCGCTTTCTTGTTGGCGGCGGACGAGATCTGGGTCCCTGCACTGCTTGTCTATGTACCTTCGTGCATTTAACACACTGTTGGGTGAGAATCGGTGGCCCAGTGTGTTAGCGCACCGCAACTCGGAGAACGTGGAGCGAAAGTTTGCGCCGCAGAACTCTGGGATCCTGGCTTCGATCATCGCCCTTTCCCATTTCGATTTGGACAAGCATCGTACCGGAGGGCGGTCGTGCATGCATAGGCACACATGAGACCCGAGGCTGGCAGTTCTACTGCACTGGCTAAATTTCTCTTCTACAGCGGAGATACCAGACTCCCACTGAGGCCGACTAACGTCCTCCTGTCTAAATAACCTCACAACACAATGACTTCATGCGCAGACTCCTCTCTGCTTGATTTTGCATGCGTCGAGGGCAACGAACAAACCTTGCGCGGCGGTCATCCGTGGTTGCTGCCTGGAACGATGGCCACCGGGCTCACCTGTGCCCTGTAGCAGTCGCTGTACTCAGCGACCATCATAATCAGGAGACAGTCATTGTTTCTATTAAAGGGAAGCTGAAGCGGTTCTGTATTTGAGTAAAAACATTTAAAACGTCTTCATTTAGCCTCCAGGATCACGAGTATCAAGATTATTTTTTTGATTTTGTGCACGGAGGTTGCAGAAAATAATTTTCAAAATATCGCCGAAGCCCCTCCTTCGCGGAGCGTTACGTCATAAAAGGAGTTTTGGGAATCTTCGCTCTGGCGCATTTTCAGCGCCTATCAAAGCTATGCACGCGCACTCTTGCTACTTTGAAAAAAAAAAAAAAAGAAAAGGGCTGTGCTTGAGATTTTGTCTGTTGTGTTGTCCTTCGTCTTTTCCCCAGTCTCGGGGGTTCGCCTTAAATTATGTTAAACCTTCAACAGCTCATTTGTGCCCTAACGTTTTGTTAGAAAAAGACGTCACGATTCGTGCCAGTGCGGGGGAATATAGACGCTTTACACACGCGCCAGAATACAGCCGCCATTGCTGACCTTCTCTTGCTTTACCGAGATACCGAGCCACTGAAATTCGTGTGGACGAGCCACCACAAAAGCCAATGCTGTGGAGAAAGACAGAATAAAATCTAAGATGGCAATAGCCTGGCCTGCTATGGTAATAATGAAGTGAAGTAAACGTAATAAGTGGAAACAAAAACTGAAGGTCAGTTATGGCAGTGCCCATGCACAGCTGCTGCAAAGCGTCTATACCTGGCAAGCTTGCGATTGCAAGCTCGGCCCTCGAGCGACACGGGCTCGGCGGCCGAAAGATCCTCTTATGACGCCACGATGCTCGGAGTTTTCTTTTAGTGTTCTGGCGTTTATGTACAGTCTCCGGCAATATGAAAGACCCACGGGAGCGCGTGGCCGAGGCGGTGGCTGGCGGGGGCGCTGCGAGCGCTCCGGGCAATTCCATTCTGCCTCGAGGGGAGGACGCTCACTCGGGGCTCAGCACAATCTGATAAGCGCGTTTCGCTTTGGCTGAGCCCGAGTGAGCGTTCTTTCCTCGAAGCAGAATGGAATCGCCCGGAGCGCTCGCAGCGCCCCCGCCAGTCACCGCCTCGGCCACGCGCCCCCAGTGGGTCTTTCATATTGCCGGAGACTGTACATCTTCGGGAAAAACGAACGTGATGTTAAGATTCACGGAATAAAACTACACTAGAATCAACCTCCATCTCATTTTCGAAAGAAGTGTTTCAGGTTTCCTTTAAACAATTGGATCTGGAAACGTTTGAAATGCTCACACGGCCACATCAAGTAAAAGGCGGTATATTGTTTCTGCGTATACAGACGCCAAAGTACATTCTCGTAGCAGCAACGACCAAACATCGGCAAAATATGACATCACCAAAATGAATGCGAATAATCGAGAAAAATAAAAAAAGTACTCTCCGTGGTCTCGATTGCGCGCACCAATATGACCCACAAGCCAAGATGGAAAATACAAGGTATATATGCAAGCATAGATGTGCCGATCCTCAGTTATTGCCGAATGAATACACCCGATGCACGGGTGGCGAGAGTGGTGAGGCGAATTGATTTTTCTTGGCTGACGCAATGGTTGGGAAAGAGGCTGCACAAAAAGTCGGACACAATAAAAAAATATCTTAATGAAGATCGCCCGGTCATTTTTATAAAAGCGCATTTATAAGAAACTATCTGCCGTAGTCTTTCCACGCGAGCCATGATTTGAAAAAAGAAGAGGGAAAATCGATCGATAAGTACCTATTAAGAGGGATATTTGTCTTATTTCTCATTTCTTAATGTTCCTATGATTCTTGGTTTGATGGTCACACGTACAGCTATTAAAACCACAAAGACGTGCTGGCGTCTGTCAGCGTAAAACGAAGCTTTGGCCAATGCTTAGCTTTAATATGGTGTCTCAATGCCTAATTATAATTTGACGGATCGTCCAAAGACAGCACTCGCTATAAAATAGCTCGTGTATTCTTGAACCATACAACAAAGCCACACAAAATAAAAGACCACAGCATAGGTGTACCCTAAATGGGTGCAATCAACTTATTTCAATATAAGCACCTCTAACAAGAAGTCAATGTTTCCGAAGTTTGGCAGATATGGATGACTTGAAAAGCGTGAAGACCGGCACTACGGACATACCCATCCAACATCCGCGATTAAACAACTTCAAAAAGAAATGCAGATTCGAAAAAAAAGGCGGGTGAAATCTCGAACGAACGCCCACCCCCAAAAGATCGCCCACCTAGTATTTTACCTTTATTTATTTCACCGTGGGAAGGAAGAGGGGGGAGGGGGGGCGTTTATTCGGGAGATTAAGGTGGGTTCATCTAGAACTACCAAATAAGGTACGCTTAGGGTGTCGGCACTCCATCCTGCATTATTTTGTGGGCACCGCCATTTTGGTCCTCAGTGGGCTGACGCAATTGGTGCCCGCCCTACACATGGAAGTCCCATTTGAAAATGCGACTTCCAAGCCCTTAGATACGAAGTCAGAAAACTCAGATTATATAGTTTCTTTTCCTGTCGCGGACTCTTTTAGCATTTTTGGAGAACGCAAAAACGTTTCCTGCGACTTCAGACAACGCTTCAGATAAGTGGCAACCCTGATTTTAAACCCCAAGATGATTTTAAACTCCAAGTGTAGGTGGCGCAAGCTACCGGCCGTTACATAGGGTACAGCCGTTAGCATCCATCCATCGATTCATTTGACGGCTGAAATGTCAGTACACTGAAGTCAACGTTACTAGAATAACTCACTTGGGAAACTCACCCGTGAAACCCGGGCCCTCGCATCCACCAATACCGAACTAGATTAGGGTGTCTACATATCATCGCCGCGTCCAGAGGGGACAGCCGCCATATTGGGTCAAACTTTCAGCTGCTCTTGTCGGCGCTGTTTTGAGTCAATGTAGTTCAAATTAGGCACTGATCTCTATGACAATTGCTGGATCGCGTTTGCCCGCTCCGCGAATGCGGTCACTGGCAGCCATCTTTAGGTAGAGTTATATCACCTCTAGCCAATGTAAGCTGCTGCAGCCGCTATCATCCATCCATGGCAGATAGCGTTTTGGCAGGTGGGTTGGCAGGCTGCGGTCAAAATAGCGTGGGTGATATTGCGTGCTTGATTAAAATTATTTGACGAAACATGTTTTTGAAACCCGGCGTGAACAGTAGTTCGGTTTTTGAGGACCTGGTAAAAGTTTCACGAAATCGCAGCACCGGAAGAAAAGCAGCGCAGCACGTATCGAAAGTCGCATCGAAAGAAGCATCGTAAGCAGACGACGCTACGGAGTCTGCTTTTGATGCGAGCCGTGCTGCTTTCCCCCGGTGCTGCGCTTTCTTAGAACTTTTGCCGGGTCCTCAAAGATGAGGCTACCGTTCACGCCGGGTTTCAAGAATCTGCTTCGTCGAACAACTTCAATCAAGCACGAAATGTCACCCACGGTACAGTGTACTATATCTACGGCTATTTTTATGGCAGCCTGCCGCCATTGCGCTGTCCGCCATATTACTATGATGGCTAGAGATGATATAACTCTACCTAAAGATGGCCGCCAGTGACCGCATTCCGGTCCATAGGAGGAGCTGGTCAAACGCGATCCAGCAAATAGACATAGAGATCAGTGAAATTAGGGGTGTCGCGAACTTTTGTCGAACCGGATTTTTAGGTCGAACTTTCAGGGTTCGACTGGGTCGAACCGGTTCGACGAACCTTCGAACTTTTCACCAGAATCGACCGGTTCGACTTTGTGGACAGTGTGGCCAGACCTTGATAGAAGCATGTCTAGGTTTGGAGAATCTTTTTTTATGCAAAGGGTTATTTTATTTTATAAACAGTATCAATTCAAAGAAACCAATTCTAATCACTGAAGAAGTTAATAACTTAATTTCTTTTTGAACTGTATTAACTGAAATAACCAGTCAGCGCTGCCCTTCATTCTTCCCTTAGCCATCACCATCCAATCCGAAGCCAACTGGCCAGCCTGTCGCGCATGCGCACACGAGTCGAACCTCAATACAAGGTTCGTCGATTTCCACTAAAAGTTCGAAAAAGTCGAACCTGGTCGAACTTGAACCTCGGCCGGTTCGCGACACCCCTAGTTAAAATTAAGCTAAAATACAACTTTTTCACCCACGAATTACGTCCACACATTATAAAGAAGTAGGGCCCGATTTGGTCCTGCCACGGGGGTCCACCCTGGACGCAGCAGTAACATCGAGGCACCCTAAACTGGATGCGACTTCAGCGCCGCCATGTAGCGGCGAGTCAAAACACGAAAGTTGTTTGATACAGCTACTTCGAGATGGTGTTGTGAGGTGGCGCCACCGGCCCTTGCGCGACTCGAATGGACTGGTACGTGCAGCCGCGCAGTTTCCGGGGTGGCTGCTCCGGTGAAGATGGCGGTATTTCGATCGCGCCTAGTTCGTTTCTCGAGTACGGATCGGAGCCACTTTTTTCAAGCAAGCTCCTATTGCAGTTTTCCTTCTGAGTTGGTTCTAGAAAGGTTGTCTGGACCGTACCTTATTTGAAGATTCTGAGCTCATCTATGATGCCAATATACGTAACTGCTAATCCGTGCACCTGTGATGACGGCAGCGTGCATTTTCTCGTGTTCTGCTAACCCTTCTACGTTTGTTCCTGAGGCTCTCTCAACGTTAGCGGCTTATAATAAAATTATTGGACGAGCTGCGATTTTGAGGCAATTCCGACGAGGGTCGAGGTTACGCGGCAGAGTTTTGGAAACAATCCGCTGTAGGGCAAGCGCAAAACAGAGCACACAGCGGCACGAGCGAAGGGGCAAACCTTTGCTCTCGGCTACATCACATATTACGACAACACGTGTCCATGATGCTCTGTCTACTTGTATCAAATATAGATAAGTCCGCTGTATTTATATGTGGGATTATATGGTATGTACACGCGTGGGGAGAGAAGGTAACGGCCCAAGGGCCGAGGCCGTCTTGTATCACGTTCGAGCTAGCACAGAACGGAAAGATTGTCCGCGAACATCTCTAGACGCCAAACAACGAAAATCTATAGAAAGGCCCCCGATTCATACGTGTTAAGCTTTCTGTTTCCGGTGTGGAGTTGAAATGTCTCATTAGGAACGTAAGTTGCCTACAAAACATCTCATGTGATTGAAGAAAAAAAATGCTATTCATGCCGCTATATTTTTGTGGCATTGGCTAATAATGGTCGCCGGCTTTTAAATTAGCTCGCTAAATTCAAGCACAAGAAAAAAACAAAAACAGCGAGCACACGCACAAAAGCTACACGCGTAAGCGCAAAAAGCAGCAGTTGAAAGCAGTAAAACATGAGGCCACTGTTCTTTCTTTCAACGGTTAGCACCAAGACTAGTAGACGACTAACTGAAGCTCCCCTCATAACCTTTGGACCATCAAAGTGTCCTGGGACCCACGGCCTCACGTTACGACCGTTTTACCGACCACAGGTGGTCTTACAAACCGGGTCGGAACCAAAATAGTACGACTCATCGATGTAAGTTCAGGGGCTGGAATGTTCCGTCTACCAGCAAGCTCTGCACATCGAGGGATACACGAATATCCCCCGACAAAAACCCTGCCAGATAACATCGGGTTCATCCGCACGAAGACTTCTGGGAGGGAAGAGGCGTTTCAAGCCACGTGACATGAAACATCTTCGTGAATCGTTCTTGAAAAAAAAAAAATCAATCAGTAAGGATGGGTTTCACTGGGGCGCGTTTTGCGCACGGAGAAGCCTTGTAGGGGAAGCCCACTCAGTCAATGAGTGGCGGCACTCCGCGGATGTTGATATCCGAGAGTTTCTGGATTACTTCCGGTTCTGGGAGGTCTTGAGACAAGGCGACCGGCGATCCTTCGGTCGGGCTTTCGTCGAGGAAGTCGATAGAGGCGGGCGGACTCGACTCGTAGGGACCCACGATGGCCGTGCCGGCGTTGGCAGACTCTGCGATGGCCGCTTCGAGACCGTTGGGCAGCGGGATGCCCGACGTCGAGGGCGGCGGGGTCATCGGGCGGTGCACCGTCAGGATCTCGTTCTCTTCAAAGCTGTCCGGTTTGGGAACCTCGGCGGGACCGGCGTGCATCAACAGGAAAGGAACGAAGCAGGCGATCTCTCCCCTGCTGCGAAGACGAGAAAAAATCGTGGACGCCTTTGCTATACCTCGTGCAAGTTCGTCAGCTGCTTGCGCACCTCGTGCGTTTGTTTACCCCCTCCTCCCTTCCTTAGCGCATCCACGTGATTTTGATTCCTCTCTCGACATGATATACGGCGGTGCGCGCTTGGCTGCCTTGTCACCGCGCGTTCCCTGCGCCTCCTCTATGTTGCACCCTTTTGATTAACGTGCTCCTCCTTGCTTTACAATGCGCCCAAGACGTATTTTGGAACACTTGCTCACCGTACAGTCACAGGCAGCTTAAGAAGGGCAGGGCGTGGCGAGCCCCGATCATCTCATTATCGCTCCTCAGTCAATAAGACTGTGGCATTCGCCGATAAGAACGCCGAAGAAGGATTTATAGAGCTAGAAGCACGAACACAATAGGGCGCTCTCGGCATTTTTTAATGAATATAGCGGGACTAGGAGGATTAGAACTTGCTCGATCACCAGCCATTAACGCTGATTTTGTATTCAAAAGAAGACCTTTTCGGGAACAGATTGCTAGCCACGGCAGAAATTGAGTAATTACCTTTTTAATAGTTGAATATAAATATATGGTTTCAATTCGAACCTTGCTGAGCGTCATCAAAAATTCATATATCAATTTAGGAATACTCGAAAAGATCGACACAGCGCACAAAAAACCGAAGACGAAATAGAAGGGCGTACACAAGAGTACCGCTGACTCTCAACTGAAGTTTGAATGGAAAACAAACACTGAAAGAAACAGCAGCAGCCATCAGCAAACAACAACATGATGGCTGATCAGCATGTGTCCAGTCGACCAATCTCCCTGCCATGGAGAAGGACCGAAGTTTGTCTTACGCAATGCTCTGTCCCTTCGTTTTTGACTGTGTAAGTCTCTAGAATTTCTCTGGTCATTTGGTCCTCGCCCATTCCGACTATCGTTACGTGATGGACGTCGGGGTGACATGCCGACTTTTTGCATCTGTTGTTGTCAATAATTTTTGAGGAATCGTTCGATTTAAGTCAAGTAACGAGTATGCTCGTTTACATTTTCTCACACTTTATTTTAAAAATTTAACTGACATCCGCACGTCGGATCTTACGTTGGGGTGAGGGTCCCACGTCCGACTTTCCGTTACCGGATAATTAAACTGTGGGGGAAATGTACAACTGAAGTCCAACGAAATAGACCAAGCAACACTTTTGTGAGAGGAGAACAGAGGTGACGCAGACTTACCCCGAGAGAGAACTCAACGTCCCGAGGCCGATCTTCACCTTGACCTCGTAGGACACGACGATGCCGAACAGGTTCTTCTTGGCATGGTCCGATATGCTGCACGGAAGAGCACACGGACCTAAGAATTCTCGACTACCCTCTAATTGCTAGTACTTACTCGCGAGAGCTTCACCTCGTGCCTGTAGGTTTTATTAGCGTGCCTATTGACGCTTTCAGGCAGCTGTGCATGGGCGCCGCCATAACCGACCTTCAGTTTTTGTTTCCTCTTATTCCGCTCGCTCTACTTCATCATTACCACAGCAGGACAGGTCATTGCCATTTTAGATTCTACCGTGTCCTTGTCTCCAGCATAGGCCCTTGTACAGACTCGTCAACGCCCGCTTCAGTGGCTCGGCATGGCGGTAAAACAAGAAAAGGTCGGCTATGGCGGCTCAATTTGGCGCGCGCTGAAAGCGTCTATACTCCGTTTCACCTTATGTTGTACCGCAGCGAAGGCCAAAAGCGCGAGCTCGTAGCGTTGGCAGCTGCCTTTAATGCACGAGGGCTTGTGCCGCTAAGATGTGCCCCAGAGCAAGAAGCTCGCTCTTGTAGCCTTTCCCGCGGTACATCATCAGGTGAAATAGAGTATAGAAGAAGTATTTACTCAGTCTCAAGTTTGCGTAATGTCCGCTTCTTTCGACTCCCGGAAAGCTAACAAAGCCATCATTAACGACGGTGGAACTCTGATTTTCTCTTGTGCACAAGACAAGATCAGAAAATCCGGGAAGAGGGACAGGTTTTGCGATAGAACAAAACAAACACTTGAAGGTGAATGCGCAAGTGTTTTCTGCTTGGCAGATAACCTCGTAAACGAGATAACACTGGGGACAAAACGGAGAAATTGTATTGTCGCTTCCTGGTGGCCTCTTTTCTAACAATTTTTCTAACGACAAACGACAGAAGAAAGTGATGTTTTTCGTTAGGATAAAACAACCCAGTGTGTCTATCGTACAACTGTGAAGTGTATCGTACTTTGGGGTGATGCACAGTACTTTGCGATATACTACAAAACCTGCTCGCAGCGCGTGCTGAAGTGCTACGTCACGACAATCAACCATACTATGCTCTACTTTTTACGAATGAATTCTGTGAGTACTTGTGCAATGGTATTACCCGAGTTTAAGAAAAACAGGTTATATTTCAATCAAATTAACTGGAGGCAGAAATTTATACGCAATGTGACATCTGCAGTACGACCGTAAGTGCGGCCCCTCCGTCGATAGCTTCCCGGCAATGCGGCAGGGCATCGGAAGAAACACCCTTCTCAGGCAGGGGAGATCATAAGCGTGACGCCGCTACGACAACCTGCCGGTTTCGACATGCACGGGCTGCCATAGAGGCGTGCAGTCACGTAATCACTACTGCGTGATGCGCGTTGCATACCCCAAGTTGGTAGTAGTACTGCACTTGCAAAATTGCCCATCGACGACCGGCTGCACCAGACGCCGCCTTAGGAGGCAACTTTCTGCTTTCTAGACGTCATTGCGTAACACTTACGACCGTTTTCGTTTCATTACAAACAAACACTATGAATAACTTTCTCTCACTTTTAGATGACACAACGCTAAGGTACAACTAAAGGCACCAGTTATAGAACGAGTCTTTAACTGGTGCTTTTAGTGTCGTATACAGCATATGTACCGCAGGTGGTCCCAAAGTGACAACAAATTACGCCAGGACGCCGCTGTGTCATGCTGCCAGATATCGCGGTCCTAGCGGTTGGCAGCAGAAATTTAGGGGGAAAAGAAGACGAGTAAAGGGCGAGTGTCGCTGTCGTCGATGCGCCCCGAACATGTTGCTGCAGAAGCTTCCGCTAACTGTCGAGCTAAGAGCGACCTGCAGATAAACAGGCATCCGGCACATCCACCTCCAGCCGCTGCGCTACCGCCAGGATCGTAGCAGGCAGCAGTATGACAGTTCTGTGGCGTCACCAGGTGAAAATTGAGGGACAAGATTTGAGGACGCGGTAGAGATACCGATCGCAGACGCGCTCCAGGCAGCTTAATGCTACCGCTAGGGTTACGTTCCGACGGAGTCATAGCCCTCCTCGAAAATTAGCGTTTTGTTTATCTTGCGCTGGTCCAAAATCGTAGTGTCGTGAATTCCGACGAAAAGCTGCGCTTCTTTCTTACATGGTGGAAGAAGCGAGGCAGTCAACGTCGTCTCCCCTGTAGCTCTGCACGAAGACGCCGTACTTGTGCTGGTTGTCCTCCAGGGAAGGCAGGATCGAGATCTCTCGTTCCACCGTCGTGCCCGGAGCGATAGGGCTGTCGTCCTTGCTGCAACGCGCATGCGCGACAAAAGAAAAAAAAAAAAAGATATCCGCCAGTCAGATAGACACAGGACCAGACTTTAAAAATTGGGCGAAATATAAACTTGATTTGTTGTTATAGAAGCACTAGGACACGCCGGCGATTGTATAGATTTACGCGCGTCATGACAACCCAATGGCGGCTCCGAAGTCGCCATATTTTGGGTGATTTGAAGATGCACTGAACACGACTGCAGCGTGAGCGTTGGGCGCGTACCCGGGTCTAAATGTATTCGACACGAGTACTCGGTCAGCGCTCACAGTAAACTAGGGTTTAATCACGAGCTTCGCGCAGAAAGCAGTGCCTTGGCAGTGCCCAAAGTATGGAGGCCGTCAGTATTTCTTGATGGTTCCTTAAAAAAAAAAAGGGTATATTGTAGTACGGATAACACTATAACGTATTGAAGGTGTGGTTACCAAAATCTTAAGAATGAACCAAACCAGATATAAATTTTCCGCTATGACAATTAGCGTCACCTTTCAGATATTCGCTGTCCCAGCGAAAAGCGTACTTTAGCACTAGATTTTTTTTTTTTTTCAATCTGATAATTTTTTTTTGTAATCTATAAAGAAGTGTGCACTTTTTTGTGTGTATAGAGCGCTAACTGGATAGGGACTTTATAAGGCGTTCACGTGCCTTAATGTAAACAGCGTGTCAACCAATCGGAGCGTCGGTGGCGTACGTACCTGTTGTTCGCAGTAGCAACGCAAACTTTCCACCGTCCAGTGGAGAACATGCATATGTCTGCCACTTGCAGAACTGTAACGAAAGGCAGTGTGCTCTTTTCAGAGGGGGGACTTGCTTGAAATGCTGACCGCTTACGCAATATTCACAACATACGGAAACCCTTACCGTCACGCTGCGTGACGCCAAATGACGCTGCCATTGAACTGGCATCAACGCGAAACCATATTACGCACGAAACAATTGTTGGTGATTTACAAAATACACAACATCTCAGCTATGGACACTGCAAATTCGCTGGAACCCGAACTTTCGAGAGCGAAACTTCTGCGCATGCTCCGAGAACGATGCATCCGAGGCATCATCATCTTTTTTATGATGATGATAATGGCGATTATGTTTGTGATGATGATGATACCTGTGAGCCGTCACATTTTATTTTAAAATATATTCAAAATAAATGACCTTTTACGGTAACTTCAGCCCGGCTTGTATAGACCATCCCAATTACCGCCATCTGCGTGCTGCTATCTTTGTCTTCTCGACCGTGGGACGCGTTTTGAGCATGTGCAATAGCTGTCGTCTGCGAAATATCAAAAGCCGCGCATGCGTATGCTGCCCAGTGACTCAGTATCTTTCGCTCGGGTGATAAGTGGCGGAAGCGTGTGTAGCGAGCAGCAGTATGGCCGCTGAAATGGACTAATCAGTGAACTATATTATCGGGTCCTGTTCGGCATTGAGAATCTGGCTCGCGGGGAAGACGGGAGACGGAACCTACCCGACGCCTTGACGTGCTTCACTGTCTTCTGGGAGAGGTTCTGGATGACCACCTTCACAACGATCTCCTCTCCGTGCAGGTAGAGCTGCAAAGAGACGAGCGTAAGGAGCGATCGCGAAGTTCAATTACGTATAAAAAAAGACACACAAAAAACACCACCACATATTTAGTAAAAAAAGGCCGCTCGTTTATTTTTATTTGGAGCACGCGGAAGGTCAACCATTGCTACCTACTATGAGCGTATTGCGATTGACGAAAAAAAAAAATACATGGTTTCTTTTAAAAACAGGATTTGCACAGGTACACTGAGCGCGATGTCCTGCTTCCTCATTGTACATGGCATAAAAATGTACAGTTTTTTTTTCTTCGCAAAAATAAACTACGCATCGCGGAACCCTCATGCTCAACCCAAATGTATAGCGCTAGCGCTTCAAACCAGATGTCGAAGTTTCAGCACTAACCGTTTTACAGCGAAGCTGTTTATGGCTAGGGTTCAGTGCATTTTTGGTGTGGTTGAACAAAAACTCAGGGCATGTCTACCTTCGCACTGTCCTCTCTTTGTTGTCATTCCAAGCGCTTGCTTGTCTAGTTTCCTTCCCCGGGGTGGCGGTACCATCGCGCGTGTCTACTTTCCGCCGGGTGTGCCTTTTCGTCGCGCGCGTCTCGTTTCCTCCGACTCTCTACGCTCGCACCGCCCTCTCTTTGTCGTCGCTCCAGGCGCTTGCGTGCCTAGTTTCCTTTCCTTCCGCCGGGTGTCGGTCCCGTCGCACGCGTCCAGTTTCCTCCGGTTCCTCGGGGCGGCGACAGTCCTCGACATGTGTGTGCGTACCTTTCGTCACGATGGCCACTGATCAAGAGAATAAATCTGTTCGTACCTTTGTTCAAAATTTTGTGTCACGTCTGTGTCCTAAACAGCTTCGCTGGTCATCCACCTTTTAAATTTTTTTATGGGAAAATGGCGGCCGCCCGAGCTCTCGAATACATGGGGTTTTATGGCGCCAGTTACCGAAAACCGGCGAAAATGGTCCCCATTTTCTCGTGGCAATTTTCAGATAATCACTCATAACTTTTGAGTAAGGTAAGGGTTAGTACTACAACTTTGACATCTGGTTCGAACCGCGCTACATTTGAGTGAAGAATAGGCGTTCGGAGATGAGTAGTACTATTCATGCGATGAAAAAAAACAACAACAACATTGTAAATGTTTTTTGAGACACGTTGTACTTGCACAGAAGGCGTTGTTGATCTTTCTTTGAGACTCCAGCATTCGCGGAAAGTGTCCTGCAGGCGATAGTGTTCACTAAGGAGAGGTGAGTCTGAAGACACCACGTAAAAATTCGTGCTAGCTTGCGCTGAGCGTGTCACCGTTGCGCAGGTCTCGGGTTACGCGCGTGACTTATTTGAAGCCGAATCTCGCGACTCTACGACGTGCTGTACAGGCCAACACTAAGTTGGAAGTCGGATATGGAGGCTGCTTCGAAGCTGAGTCGTGTCGTGAACATACCCACGCCCGTCACGTTACGCCCTCCTTAAGATCTCCGTGCTTGACTTGCACGGTTCACACGCGCATGCCATGCTCACTGCCACCACGCGTATTTCGTACTTCGGAAGCCCCCCCCCCCCCCCCCCCCCTCCCCCTCCCCTCCCCTTTCCTTACACTTCCTCGCACTCCATGATGGGCTGAAGGCCGAGGCTACACGGGCCTCCGGCTCCAAACAAGAGATAGTTATAAATCACGTGTTGCTCTTAAGCACCGCTCACACACTTGCAACCGAGTAGAACCTAGAGAGAGACAAGTCCGATTTTTAAGCCTCTAGCGACGGCGTAGGACCGGATGCGCTGCTGCGGGGCAGGTGTCTTACGCCGTCGCAAGATGCTTAAAACTGCCCTTGTTTCTCTCGGTCCTACTTGGTTGCAAGTGTGTGAACGGCCGCTTTACGTGCTTATCGGCGCCCCGAGTCTCGCGACAGACGCCTGCGTTGGAGCAACAGACAACCTGGTCCTTAAGTGGATCGTGATTGAGTCCGGTGGCCCGTAGCACTGTCTTTGAGCCCGTCGTGAGGTAAGACAACGTACAGATAGAAGTTAATATACAGCTCCTGGCAGCTTAAGAAAGGAAGGACGCCGCGAGTCTCAGCCTCAAATTATCGCTTCCCAGCCAATCACATTGTTGCGCAAACTGATAAGAAAGCCCAAGACCCAATCACGAATAAAAAAACATGATCACAATAGGTCGCGCCCTGTGTTTTTTAAGCCGTCACCGAATCTAAACTCTCCCAGTGCTTCAATAAAAAAAAAAAAAAATTCCATTGCCATTTTTTTTTTTGTGTCGCGTTGTTTTGTTAGTTCCGATTTACATAGGGCTGGCCTTTTGGAGTCATAACGTTCAGCTTCAGAAGTCATAGCCGTTTATACTGAGAAAGCTTGACCAAAGGGCGGAGCTTGCTGCCCTCTAGATGCAAGCAAACTTGTGATAACATATTGTGTCGTGTTATCCGATCGAGAAACAGATCGGTATTTGTTATTCCTCAGCAACACAAGATGGCGGAGGGAACATAGCATTTCTCGGTTTTTGGATTGCATTGGATTGTGGCAGCTAAACCCCTTCAGTCAAGCGGTCACAATCATAAATTAAAAATAAAAAAAAAAAACAGTATTTAGCTGGATTCCTTGGTTGCTAGGCCATGGCCATCTCCGAAAGCTTGTCGAACACTTCTAGTGTAAAAGACCCAATACCTCGGGTTTGCTGAGTTGCGCCACCTATAGCGCATGTTGTGCTTGTCCAAGAGCAGCGCGTAGCCTTACCTCTTTGGGGAGGCTCGCGTCGACGACCAACTTCCCGGCGTTGAGCGGGAAGTCCTTGCACACGGACGAGGCCCGGGGACTCGAAGGCAGCGACCTCGGGGTGCAGGCGAACTGCGCCTTCCGGATGGGCATGTTCACGCAGCTCCTGCATCGCACAAGTCGGGACAGTTTCTTTTTTGTTAGAATTTTGCGATTTCATCTTTACCCGCGTTCAATCACGCAGGTTAGACAGACGTTTACCCGAAGATTCCTACAGGCACGGCGCTTGCACCTCGCGCATATCCTCAGAAATTCCTCACGCTATATACCTTTTTCTCGAGTGACAGGTTTGAGGCTTCAAACTGTTGCCTCATCGAAATGCCCACCCACTGGAATGGGTAACGGCGAATTCACGCAGAACCTTCTTTGCGGACGAGAACATCGTGTTACCAAATCGGATGTGCAAATATTGTTCCCTAAAACTTCCTAGCGTCTTCAGACGGTACGACGTATATAGCAGCATTGTGAGCGCAGCTTTAGGACGCGGGGTGCCGTCCTCACCTGGCCGGCGGCCGGTCGTCTTCTTCGAGCACCGTGTAGCAGCGAATGAGGTAGCGTACCCCGCACGTGTCGCCGGAGCCAGGGGTCAGCCTCTGCATCACCGTCGACACCGGGGCGTCCCGCGGAAACTGCGCCAAACGCAAAACGAGAATGTCCCTCCATGACTCTTTCTGCGGTGCACCGCCGTCTGCGTCTACGGTGTTTTTGTGGAACGCGTTCTGGGAATGAGCGTGCGATGAAACTCTGTGGTGTATACGGCACGCAAGTCCGCCCACTCCTTGCTCACCTCGTGCGTGCGGAATATCAGACGCGGCTCATGTGTCCAAAACAACCCAGTGACTCACCATATCTTTTTTTTTCGACTGATTGTTAATTGTTGAAAAAGTGCGAAGGACTATTCTACGCAATTATTTTTTGCTTGAACATTTCATTCGGGGTTTGCGCGGTGTATTGACACATTTAAAAGCCCGTGGGTAAGAATCCCCGTAGTTTGAAATGAAGCTCTTAAATGTCAAGTGAAAAAAAAAACACAAAAAAAAGCCTCTCAGTAAAGAGGTACGATAAACAAAATATAAGACGACAAAACCTGAAATACAGTCGATGCTGACGACTACTTCAATATACAAGTATATAAAAGCTAAGGCAGAAGGAGCCAATTAGTAGAGAAGAATGTGAAGCAAAATAGCCACATGGAGAAGTGCAAAGCACAAGAACAGTAAAGCATTAGTGAGCATACTAAAAAAAAGTCTGCCGGGGCTGCTTTACAACTTCGTAGAACCAGGACTACGGAAGGATTGTTCTTGCATTCTCGCGCACAAAAATAACGGTAAGCCTTTGCTTTTAAAATAGGATCATTTTAGACTTTTGGCGTTCTTGAGAAGTCAGAATTTGCAGAAATATTTTAACGAGGAAACAATTATTCATTCATTTATAAAAAAAAAAAAAAAAAAAAAAAAAACGTGGCTTACATCAGCAAGTCATTTCAGGGGGGGGGGGGGGGGGGGGTTAAACGTGATATTTCAAAGCTAATTTAACACTAGAGCACCGATACCGCGAATACGGCAACCAGAAGACTCAAACTGTAAACATGTCCCAGAAAGAATCTGTCCTTGCCAGAAATCTTAATGCGCTCGTGAATTTATATCCCCCAAATATAAACAGGCTACGCATTCTTGAGTAGCTTTAAAAATTGTTCTATCCAAAAAAAAAAAAAAAAAAAAAAAAGTCGGTCGCAGATGTGTCGAGGTAATGCCAAACTAAATAATTCCACGAAATGTTAGGCGTGTTCTCTAGATTTCACCGGAAAACAACGAAACTTCCGTTCGTTACAAGGTGTTGTCTTAAGCTATGTACTCCTGCGTTCGTGAACATTAAGCATTAGTCACGTGCATATGTATAAATCTTACCGAAAAACAAAAATTACTGACAACATATTTGCTTTTTGTCACCGTTCGACAGTACAAACACCCGGGCCATACTTTTTGTCTGTCATCCACCGTCGCTCCCTCAATTATATTCGCAAGATGTCAAGGTGATATATAAATTTATTGTATTGTATGATTATACCGCTAGTAGTTGCACCGAATGTTCGACTGCGTGCATACGTAGAAAAAAGGGCCTCGTTTTATGAAGTCGGATCCCATAAAACTAAGCCTCGAAGGACGTTGAATGTTATCCGAGCAACTGCTGCAAAACAACGTCTGCGAACAAGGTTACAACGTCTGCGAACAAGGTTAGCAACGAAGAAAAAAAAACACACACAAAAACTATATACGTGTACATACGTATGTACATTATCGGTCGTCGCAATAACTCAAAAACATGATATACGTAATGAGAAACTGTCTCTCTTAGAATATACATCGAAGCAAATGCAGCCCCGTTGTTGCAAGACGGCGCTGCGCTCAGTCTGATCGCCTTAGAGAGCGTGCTCTACGTATTTAATCCCGAGAAGAGAAAGAAAAAAAAAAAAAAAACGAAAGCAGTCGTCTGCCAATGTCTGCACTTTTTCATTCCGCTCGTCGAACCCGATTTCTGAAGAGAGCTAGAAGGCAAGCGGGCAAAGCAAAATATTCGCAAGAAAAGAGAGAAAAAAACGAGTTCGCGATACGAAAGTCGTATTCGCCTTCTGCTGCACATGTAATACGTTTCTATGCCTGTGCTGCCGGGATTTGTTGCGCACGACTTGATGATTGTACGAGGGAACGAGAGGAGAAAACAAAAATGAAAAAAGCGAAACTGCAAGACTGGTAATTTTTTTTTTTCACTGTGATTGGAACTTGCCATTTATTACAGGGCGTATATCAAGATCCACTAACGACTTTTCTTTATATTAGAAAGATCCGTTTGTCACGACATATTTTATTATCATTTTGAGTCGCCGTGACGCTGAGTACAGGGGAATTGAAGTTACAGGTGCTCGGAGGGAAATATGAAAATAATGTTTTATAGGAAATGTCTCGTACAATGATACACCAATGAATATCTGAACGGAGTGCGGTGGAAAGGGCGAGGGTTGTGAAAGTGAGGGTTGTTTTTGCAGGGCCGAAGATCTCAACGACCTAATGATGATATTACGCTTTAAAAGGGAAACTGAAGCGGTTTTCGTATTCGAGGAAAAACACCTAAATCGTCTTCATTTGGCCTCCAGGATCACGAATATCGAGATTATTTTTCAAGTTGATGCATGGAGGCTGCAAAAATTAATTCTCGAAGTACCACTGAAGCCCTTTTTTCCCGGGGCGTGACGTCATACTATGAAGTTTCGGAATCTCCGCTCTCGCGCATCTTCAGCGCCCGTCAAAGCTATGCACGTGCACTCTCGCTATCTTCAAAAAGGTCAGAAAGAGACGTCACGACTGGTGCCAGTGCGGGGGAATATATCTGGCAAGCTTGCAACTGGCCGCGCTGCCCACACGAGCGACACGCGCTTGGCGGCCCAAAGATCCTAGGATGACGTCACGCTTGTCGGAGGTTTTTTTCTGATTTCTCGCGTTTAGTAACATCTTCGGACACAACGAACGCGATATTCAAATTCAAGGGATAAAAATATGTCAAAATTCACCTCCAACTCGTTTTTTTTTTTTCCAAGATGTACGGAAACGAAATGACGTGAGCGCGATTTCTCTGCCCCTCGCTTCAAAGTAGGTCAGCGAGAAGCGCATTGCGTATAGCGCTCGTTACGTCAATAGTTTTTGCACGGTCAAGGGTACTGTAGTTGTGAGCTTTTCAGCTTGGTGGCGTCGACACGTGACAATCTCTGAAGCCCCTTGTATGTTTTAAAAGTAGCGCAAGGTCCGTCGATGCACGAGGCGCGTGCAACGTGCAGCCCTTGGGAAGATCATGGCGGCACAGCGCAGCACTGAGCTATTCAGACGCCATGTACTTCCCAGAAGTGGCGCGTGGCACGTGTCTCAAGCATTTCTACAATAGAGTTCCTGTATTAGCGCCGAGATGTTTCGGTGGCACCCTCTTATGGTTTCCCTCCGTGACGTCACGACTGGAATTTGCCTCGCCGTGACGTCACCAGTTGTTATTCTGGCTACTTACCATCGGGTGCGACGACCGGTTCGATGGTGCGTTTAAAAAGCACAGTAGAAGCTAGGAGCCATCGCAATCCGAAACTAACACCGTCAAAGTTGACAATCTGAGAGTGCTCATATGCCCATGGTTTGGCCAATCGTGGAAAGCTGACCACAGCGACGCTTTTGGCCACGCACATGGGAGCCAGAGTTGTGCGATCAGGTGAGGAGCCGGATCAAGTGCCGTGCAGGAAAGTAGACGTTGCACGCGCCGCGCGCCTCGAACGTGCGGCGCCGATATACTCGCCGAATTCAGTCACGTGACGAGCGGGATCAGCATGCCGTACAGAAAAAACGGCGCTACGGAGATGAACGCGCAACTCTGGTTCCCGTAGGGAGCCTATACAGGAAGTCTATTCCACAACAATTAAAAGCGCCACCTCTAACAATTTCGCCTATACTCGTTTTCCCCTCAAGAACCGTAGCAGAAAAAAGCCCGGCCCCTCGCAGAGCATTACTAATTTCCTCGTTTATGTGGAGAATTAAGATATATGTACGTGCAGTTTAGATTAGATCCACGTTAACTTATCAAGACGTACGCGTTTCAAACGCCAAAAAGCATCTCTTCTTCCTCCGACAACATCTAGTAAGAACTACTTCGCGCGGCTTATGAACAATGCGCAAAACCTGCTTCTTTTAGGTGAAAAGGAACATAGTAGTAATATCCGAGGGCTAGATCTCGAGGTCGCTGTTTTGAAGCGTTCTTCCGCAGAACGAGCACTTGAGCTAGAAATGCATGTCTCAAAGCCAGGAGCGCGGACGGACCAGTTCGCGCGTGTAGCTTTGGCTGCAGTCTTACCTTATGGGTAAACGCAGTATAGTAAACGCGTTAGCGTACTCCGCCGAGTAACATTCAGGACTCTCCATCATGGGGCCTCCTGCGCTGAAGCTTTGAACAAGCTGTGGCGCACTCGTTTTGGGTGGTACAAGCTCACCTGGTTGGGACGCCCATTATTGTGGCGCCTTCGCCCTGTTTTTTTCCTTCTGTGTAGTGCAGAAGAAAGCAAAAACACCTTTGGACGTCTGATATCAGCTACATTCAATGCCGCAAGACAATCGAAAGTTCCGGATCCATGCCACCACCGCTAGGGTACGCGTCTCGTATCTCTAAGTGGTGACATTAGAACATCTGGCGTCCCGACGTTTTTTGTTTTTTTCTTCCCCTTTATGGTTTCTTTGGGACGCGTGATACGGCGTTTCTTGGTCGCGCTCTTATCGTCCTCCCTTTGACCTGTGCTTCAACGGCGTTAGCATTTTTTGCTTTTTTTTTTTTTCTATTTTCCTCGTTCTCGTGTTCCGCGCCAGAGCAGGCACGCTTCTATATGTCTGGCAGTTTGAGTCGCTCAAGTTTTTACAACCCAAAACAAGTCCTAACAAGTCATTTTTCACAGCGCCTCCTGGGCAACGCAAGATGCCTATTCTGCCGCAAACTGCCGCTGCTTCTTAGGAACTCATGACGTGCCGGTATTCCAACGGAACTTCACAGACCGCCACCAGACGCAATTTTGAAATCTGTTCATTCGTTTTAAAATGAGTTTTCTCGACTT